AACTTGGATCATGAGATTCCATGCATGTAGTCCCAAGATATCAGCAAAATACTGCTCCACTTAGTATTTAGGTATTCTTGGGAGTGAATAAACGAAGATAATGATAAAGAAAAACATAGCTGAGGAAGCTCAAAAGATAGTAGGATAGTATATCTTCCCAATGAACTCTCTCCCAGCTTTATCCACCAAGGCTAGCTGGTGATATATGCTTATCTTCCAGAGGTGATGGAGATCAAAGGCCACTGATAAATGAATGCATTACATTCTTGGTGCCATATTCACTAGGACTTGAGCATACATACCAGAGCTTTATGTTAGAGTAGCCAAACTTGCAAGTTGGTCACCTTACATTTTTAAAGTACTAAATATTCAATTTTTCATAACTGAATAGTCAATATTGCCATCATATCAAATGATAGTAATCCAAATACCTTATGAATCAATAGTGCTTTTGAGACCCTTTCTGCTAGTACTTGATTCATGCTTTTAGCTCAAGCAGGTATGGATATAGAGGCCTGTCAGTTATACATGAGCTAGTGATGGGTCAGTGCTAACATACTTATTGAGCTGCTCCCATAGGTTACTTAATGAAAGTTGTTTATATAGTCAAAACACACAACTTTGATTTTGTGACGATGTGTGACACTTTCTGATGATCATACAGTCAAACGGCGGAAATTTCCTTTTTGGGAGATATGTCACACCTGTGACCTCGTATAACAGTGTGTAACAGCATGTCCAGAAGCTGAAACTAGTGTTTGATTTATTAATATATATAGTATAATATAGATGAGTATAACAAGCCTGTAGATGTCACATACCAGTGATCTTGTTGTCCGAGTCCTATAGTGCCAGAATTATTCATAATTATCTATACCCGATGGACTTAGAGAGAAAAAAGCCTTGGAACTCGTAATTATTCATTCTGCTTTTCATTAATTATTCATTACTATGGTGGAGAGAAAAACGGCCGTGAATTGTCTGCTCCAACCCGCCGGGGTGGACCCGACAATTGACGGTGGGTACTGGGCTGCACAGGTGGCACAGAGAGGCTTAAAAAACTAGCGTGCGGACTGGTGAATGACACGAGGTAAACTAGTGCCTAACGAAGATGTCTAATTTACCTTTGTAACATCTGCAGGTATCTATAAAGGTATCTGTATTTATAGATAAAGATATAAGGATGGAGATATAGCTAAAATACCTAAAAAAACCTATAGATAAGTGGAAATACCTTACCTGTGTTAGTCGTAAGGTGCTTTGTAAGCTATCAACTTATTGCATGTAAGGACATGGGAACCTAGATTATTAACTAATGAGAAGAGAACAAATAGTTAGAAGTATAATGTGGTTAGACATAGAAATTATTTAAAAAATAGTAGGAGCACTAGAAGGAAGATTGTAGTAGTAGTAGATCTAGGAGTTGTAGTGTAGTATATAGTGATTATTATAGTAGAGACCAACAGAGAAGCTAACATAAATAGCATATATAATTTAACAGGTAGATGGGTTAATATCTATTGGATGTGGTATAATATACATAGATTTGATAGCACTTAGCTTATCATTAAAAAATCTAAAGTGTTTACTAAGAACCTGGAGCATTGCTCTTATTACGCTGCAAAGTAGTTAATCTGCCTGTTCTGGGTAATAGTTGTGGTATTTGTACAGCTGCTGCTTCTAGGGTGCAATGCTACTCTACTAATCCTAATAACCTCATGATCACTTAGTCAGATTTTTGCATTCTTAAATTGGCAGAGGTTCAGCATGATCTTGTTATGTGTAATATGCATTGCTAATAACAGCCTCAGTGAAGATAAAGCCGGTGTGTTTCCTTTTTTCTTTGGTTACTTATTTCTAACCTTATTACTAATCTGCTGTTCGACCAAGCTATTATTCAGACCAATTACATTTGTTAGACTGCAGTCCACTGCTTTTAAGTAGGTGTCCTTTTTATCATTTTCATCCGCCTTATATCTACTAGGTAACCACTATATTATTTAATTAGTTGTCTTTAAGCAGATCCCAGACACTTATTTCTGCATATACTTATATCACTTTTTTTTTACTTAATTTATAGTTACTATTGGGGAGTGGAGTGTTATCCACCTTTCCATAAGAATTGCAGTCTGTGAACACATAGATCTGGGTTCCTGTGTCAACTACAGAATACCCAGATGCCCCAGAGTGTCTAGAAAAATTTGGTTTTGCTGATGAAAAGGTCCCCCCCATGAGATTTAATTTTTCAGATCACATTATATACATGAAAAATTCCTTTGATTCCCCATTATAATGATGAATAGTAATACATATCATATTGGCTATACAGCTATACCCTGCTAGTTGATTATAGATCATATATGTAATACTTGGCAACTAAGGTGCATATATCTACTTACATACTTTAATTAATCTTTATATACTCTCAAAGGATGAATTAGGGTGAACATTCTGAGATAAGTTAAGTGCAGAACTGGTTTACATGAATGGTGGGGTCTATAGACTGAGTAGTGAACATTAAAAGGCATGTATAAGGATATTTAGATATCTAGTGAGACCCCATACTATAATCTATTGTAATTCTGGCAAGTGTTACAGAAGGTAGCTGAAGGGAGGATAGGTACCTATATAGGGCTCCAACCATTTCCGTGTACAAATGTTTGTACACGGTAATAACCGTTTTTATTTTCATTTAGTTTACCATAGTATGTAAATAGTAAATAAATGAAAACAAATGGTTTAAATGGTTATCCTCTAATAACAATAGCTGACAGGCTCATAACCATGTTACTACTAGGAATATGTCTGGTTACCACATGCATACTAGTGTAGAACATACATCCTACATGAATATGGATAGTTGCGGCATTCCTAGGCCTCTTCTTTCAGGAGTTCATCACATGATCCAGCATCAAATAAGTCAAAGGCAATGAATCTTGACCTACATGCCCATCTAGAACAGTATTACAAGTGAGAAAATGACATCCTTCACTTAAATAAACCTTATAAACTCAAGTACGTACCATAAAATTGTTAATTATTCTATGTGATTATATTAGCATTTTTAACTGTTTTTAAATGGTAATAAACATTTACTAAATGTTTTCTTACCATTTCCGTTTAGTTTACCTGGAGATGTAAACGAAAACTAAATAGTTGGAGCCCTATACCTATAGAGCAAAAGAGAGTGTCTTTGCTATCTTCAACCCTATATGTATTCAGTAACAGTAACTTAATAGACTTGTTTTGCACTCTTTTTTAGTCTCTTTAAGTGGATTATGGACAAAAAGCCTTTGGTATTGTTTACTACCAGCTGCTCCTAGGATTCCACTGGGCGGCTACTAGCTGCTACCATCAATTGGCAGGTTGCTACCAAGCCTCCTGAGATCAGGGGACTTGTCTACCGCGCTACCACAGCTACTGGATCTACAGTGCATCTGGTTGCAAAGTTGGCCTTTCCTGTGAAGTGACTTAAGAGGACATATCCATAATACCCAACATAGCACTATAGATTCCTGCATAAGCTCCTATGCCAGCCTAACTTGTTTTGTAAATAAAAATAGCAAGGAAAGACAAGCAAATATAAGAGCAGACAGGGGTGAAATAGCAGGTAAAGAGATCAGAGGCAAGATACAGTCGACAATACAGCCAGGTTTCCCGAACCTTTTTTTTTTTTTTTTTGAGTGTTTAGAGTAATTCACTTCAGTCTGCAGAAGCATTTTAAAGAACATCCACTAGGGTGCACTGGGGATTACTAGTAAAATGCCGGGAATTAAGCTCAGGGGGGAAATGCCTTTATGCACGTTTTAAAACCAGTGTGGGACTCCTACTATGGTATGATTTATCCAACACCTTTTTTCAAGGGTAGAATACCCACTAAAACCCCCTTTTCATATATCTAGTTATCCAGCAAGGAGTCTTCATCCAGCAGAAGCCCACTCCAAGTATTTAGCACCACTTGGTAGTCAATAGCTAATTTACTAAATTTATTCTTATTTGTCAAGATTCTATCACGTTGAAGTATTGAATTTATCAATGTTAACCATCGATTATGTATCTCCCTAACCCTAATGTACATGTAAAAAAAAGACAGATTCTTTAATTGTGGATATGAGACATCTTCTTTGATGATCATGATTGACACCGGCGATCACTCCTCCGCATGCCGCCGTATCATTCAGCGAGAAATGGCAGCGATCGATGATCCCGCATGTGCGGCTGTCGTAAATCACACGGGTCACGCGGGTGACGCGTCTGATTTACGACCGCCACCACGGCGATGGGGAACTGCCAGCTGGCTGATTCGTATACCGCCACAGGGACTCGATAAGGCTTGGACCGACATTCGCGCGACTCGGATGGCGCGGGACAACGCACACAGGAAGAAAGATGTGGACTAGGCAGAGAAGAGAAGGCCGAGGTGTGTGATTCGACGCACTTGTGGCTGCTGAAGGACGCTTGGAGATGGCGCAACGACAGCCACACGGGATTCGCGGTCCATTGCACCCGCGGCTCAGAAGACACTGGGCTGGTGACGGTATCCACCACCCGTATCCGCGTTAGCGTTCGAAGCCCTGACTGTTGATCATCTTTCGAATCTAATCGCTCTTCTGCAGATAGATGTGTTCCGAGACCCCTGATGCTGACCGGCTCGTGAATTGGGGGCGTTCGAATTACAATGCTCATTCATGATTCGCCCCGGCCCAGCTTACGTCCGCCGCGCCGCCGTTGGTCAAGACTGCGATTGGTCCGCCCTAAACCAAGCCTGAGGAGATCCCCACCCCGCGCTCGCTTCCCGCATACACTCTTTCCCGGCGACTGATTGGTAACTTGCGCAGATATAGCGCCACGGTGGGTGTATAAAAAGACTCCTAGCACCAGGGCAGTGCAGGCTTCGGATCCGTTGTCCTCGCCGTTCGTCGTCTTCTTGATTCCCTCGTTCCCGCCCGCCGTCGTCGCCCCCAATAAAGGCTCCAAGACACGTCCTTCCTTCCTTTGCAATGTCGTCCTCTGCTCCCCCTGGTCCCCCGTCTGGCCCGCCCGATGTCACTGCACTGTAAATTCACCACCCCGTTCATCAACTGTGTACTCACGGGTTGGACAGTTTTGGGCCCCTCCTCCTCGGCGCGCTCCTCAACACGCTCCTGTACGGCGTCATGGCGGTCCAGGCGTTCATCTACTTCAACCGCTACCAAAAGTGCGTCCATCCAACTGTTTGCGTCGAAGTTGACGACCCCCTATCAGAGATCGGACGTGGTTCAAATACCTCGTACGTCGCCATCGCTCCCAGTTATCCGTATTAATATTTGTACAGGTGAGCTACCTCGTCCTCGTCGAGACCGTCAATCTTGTGTGTATTGTGGGGCTGGTGTATGAGCCGCTGATTGTCCGTTACGGTGGGGGTGCTTAGCATCTATTATTGCTTGCTGACAGCGAAATTCCAGGTCGCATGGAGGCGCTGATTACTTCTCCAATCAGTGCGTCGTTTCCCACTTGATTCTGTCGTGACTTTGATTGGTTCTACAGTGCTTCGACCGGATGCTGTTTTAACAGTGCTCATCTCCGCACCGACACAGCTGTTCGTCGCGTGGCGCCTGCAGGTCATCACGCACTCGTACCTGCTCTCTGGCGCCATTGCCATTTTAGCCGTTGTCGCATTCGGCGGCGGCGTCGCAGTCTCCACTGTTGTTTCGCTGCACCCTGACTTTGCGAGCTTCCCCACGTTCAAGCCGGAGGTCATTACGTGGCTTGTGTCGAGCTCCGCTTGTGATGTTTTGCTCACGGCATCGCTGGTGGTATCCCTGGTCGGTGTCTTCCCTTCTCCCCTGGTCTTGAAATGCTGACGCACATCAGTGGACGCGGAAGTCGAAGGTCGCGTCAACCGACAGCTATGTCAACAAGATTATTCGATGTGCGTACCGCTCTCGTCTGCGTGATGTGTTGGCTACTTATCGGCGCCCCCGGGCCGTTGTAGTAACTGTGCAGACGGGGCTAATCACCGCCGCCGCCGCGTCGCTTGACATGCTGCTCTACGTGCTGATCCCCAACACCAGCTAGTGCGTCCATCCATCTCTGTTGATCCGGGCCCGGTATCTCACGTTGCCGACCCGACAGCAACTTCATTCTTGACTTCCCGCTCTCGAAGCTATATACGAACAGTCTGCTCAGCACGTACGGTGCCACTGCATTTCCTTCAAATTGCTAATGGCAAGTCAGGCTAAACGCCCGCCCGTGGCGCGAGTCCGCGCAGGACTACAACGCGCCGAACGTGCTATTCGAGCAGAGCGGGAGGACGGGGACGTCCGGGACATCCGGCGGCGCGAGCCGGAGCCGGACCGGCCCGCAGACTTTTAGCCTGGTGCAGACGGGAACGCAGAGGAAGGACCATATGGGGCTGGGCTCGTATCAGCCGGTAAGCATCCGTCTATGTTTTTCTCTCAGTTGCATCCATTCGGTTGGTGCATCCCGGGTTGGTTCCTGCGTAAGGCGGATCCGGATACCCTGTTCAGGTTGGCGTGGCGTGTCGGAGCCGCTGTCCTGATGCGGACTTTAGCCTCGGAAGCACAACGGATGTGTACCCACGCCGCACATGTTCTCCGAATTTGTTGCCATCTGCCCGTCTTCCTTTCTGCGGTTGCTGTTCTTATCTTGCTGATTGCTGACGTGCTCGGGCTAGTCAACCCAGACCGCCACGGGCGTGAACGTGAGCGTGAAGACGGAGTCGTTCCTCGACATTACGCCTGCCCCTCACCCATACGGCGTAGGCGTGGACAGCAAGAACGGCCATGGAGAGGAGCAGTACGTCGTCGCGATGCCGCGGTACGAGCGCGACCAGCATGCGCATTCTCCGGTGTAATTTATGTTACTATGTATTTTATAGCTATAGAGTGTAAGTAACTTACCAATCAAACCGTTGAGGTTCGCAAAAACTAAAGCGTCTCGCGAGGCTCGAACCCAGGGAGTCTCTCTGGTCGCCGGCCGCCGGCCCGAATCCGGGGTGTGATTTTGGGACTCGTGTGGCTTGCGTGTGGACGGCCGACTATGGTGGTCAAAGTGGGGAAGTATTAATTTTACACACACCTTGTGAAATTTTCAGTTTTCCACAACATTTTGAACAAAAGACTGTTTTCCGCGGCTATGAGGACGCGGGCTGGGCCGGGCTTCGGGCTCAAAGCCCGGCCCGGCAGACCACTAAGGTCGACACAATACAATCATCCATATGAGTTGCATACTTATGAGGGAGTCAAGAAAGCTCCTTTGCCAGCAGCAATGGATCAAACCGTTGGCCACGATCAAACGGTCACCGTGACGTGTGATTTGATGTGATGTGTGACGCGCTTTTTTTCTTCTTCTTTTCTTCTCTCATCACCATCGGTCCGGCGATGGACCCACCAGCGGCGTTCGCCTGAAGCTACCCAGAATTGACGTCTACTTCTTCTGGCCATCTTGGCGCTTTCTCTGCGTTGGCGCTCGTCTTAGTCAGGACAGGACCCTTCGTCAGACGTTGGATTACATCCTCGGAGGCGCGGGACCAAATTCGGCGCGTCTTCCTTTCTGCGCCAGCTAGGGCTCTAACTCCGGCATACAGTTTACTGCCCCGCGCCTTCAACTCGCATGCGGCGAGTTCCGACACTTCCCGTACGATACGATACGCGGCTGTAAGTACGGCTGAACGGCGTGATTGCCACTCTGCCGGTCCTACTTCCCAACCGTCTGCGCATGGGTGACGATTGACGCCAATTGACCCACCCAGTGATGCTGATGATCTGCAGATATCCCTCGTCGCTATGCACGTATTTCTCCGCTTGTGACAGCGAAGATCAGAAGATCCCCTTGGCTTGCGCCGTCAGCGAGTGTGTATCCAATGCATATATCTGCTGTCTATCCATTCTGTCGTCGATCCCAAGGCGATCCAGCGCAAAAGGAAGCCTCAACAGCGTCCAATCCTGCGCTAACAGCGTCAAGACGCGATCGCCCATCATCGGTGTATTGGTGTCGGCGCGTGATGTGTTCGGGAATGGGAGGAGCAAGCGGCCATCCCGCCACTGCAGGAGCGCGGATCGGGCAGCTTTCCATCATCATCACGACAGAAATGTCTTCCATCAAGAGGGGGGGGTGCGCTCATATACCCTCCTACACGGGCCCGCGATATATCATGCTCGATACGAGATACCATAAAAAGCGACGGCAATTTCCCGCGGGACCGTGTCCTGCCAGTCCTACAGCGGGTTGCCTGTCGTTGGGCTCTGCGTTCCCCTCCCGACACCCATTTAGCTCTCCCGGCCAGCTGGCGAGACCACCCACCGACTTGACATGGCTTCCTCGCAGACACCGCCAGACGTCACCGGTCTGTGAGTCGAGAAAGCTTTTGTGGATGGAGTTACAGCTGACGGATTGCCTTGACAGCTTTGGCCCTCTGCTCATTGGCGCGCTGCTCAACACCCTGCTGTATGGTGTCATGGCCGTGCAGGCGTTTCTCTACTTCCAGCATTACACGAAGTAAGTACCAGACCGAGAACGCTCTCTTCTCCCTCAGGACTAATAATAAACCCAAGGGATCGCGCCTGGTTCAAGTATCTGGCGCGTTTATTTCTCTCTGTGAAATCCCGCATCTTAAGCCTGTCCTCTCCAGGTTGCTTACCTCGTTGTTATCGAGACCGCGAGCCTGGTGTGCAACGTCGGAGTGGTATATGAGCCCCTCATCACCCGCTATGGTGTGTCACTCTATTACCTGCTACAAATACGCTCTGACATTACCTATCAAGCCCGTCCTGAAGCCCTGATCGTGTCGCCTATCTGTCCGTCGATACTCTTGCTCCTATCCCCATTGACCCCAATTTCGATCCACAGTGCTCCGGCCCGATGCGGCCCTTACCGTCCTCGTCTCCGCACCCACGCAGCTTTTCGTCGCGTGGCGCCTGCATGTCATCACCCGCTCGTACTTTCTCTCCGCGCTCATCGCGATCCTCGCATTCGTCGCATTCGTCGGCGGAATCGTGACCTCCGTCGTTGTCTCGCTCCACCCCAACTTTGCGAGCTTCGCGTCGTTCAAGCCGGAGGTGATCACCTGGCTCGTGGCGAGTACGGCGTGTGATGTGGTGTTGACGGCGGCGCTGGTGTTCTCGCTGGTGCGTTCGTATCGCGCGACGTTTCTCTCGTTTTTTGACGCCTCTGTTTTTCGATAGTGGACACGCAAGACGAAGATGGCGTCGACGGATAGCTACGTGAATAAGATTATCCGCCGTGAGTCTGATTCCCTTAGTTCGCTATTTCTTACCTTGGCGGACAGTCACGGTACAAACTGGCTTGATCACTGCCACCGCCGCCTTGCTCGACCTGCTGCTGTACATCGCGTTCCCAAACGCCAGCTAGTACGTCCCTCCTTCCTGCCCGTCGCCGTTTATTTACCTCAGCAGCAACTTCATCCTCGACTTTGCGCTCTCGAAGCTGTACACCAACAGCCTCATCAGCACGTCTGTTCCTCCCATCCGTTCTGCACATCCTCCGCGGCTGACCATTTGCACGCCAGGCTCAACGCGCGGCCGTGGCGCGAGTCTGCCCTTGGCTTTGCGCCGAACGTGCTGTTCGAGCAGAGCAAGGAGGGCACCTCAGGCAGCCGCTCGCTCAGCCGTGGGCCCGGTCAGACCTTCGGGCTCACGCAGACGGCGACGCAGACCCGGCCGATGGGGCTGACCTACCCGCCGGTGCGTCCATTCCTTACCTCCGATGCGCCCGTTGACATCGAGGCACAATATCTGCAGTCTGGAAACGCGACGGGGCTCTCGGGTGTGAACGTGAACGTGAAAATGGAGTCGTTTGTGGACGTCGATGCGGCGGGGCCGTATGGCGATCGGAAAGAAGCGGGGGAAGATGCGCGGAACCCGCGGTACATCGCGATGCCTGTGCGATACCAGGAGAGCCGGGCTGTGTAGGACTAGTGTATTTTATTTATTTGTTTATGGACTTGGTATTCCACGTAGATGCAGAGGACGCTGTCGGACATCATCCTCATGTACTATGTCAGTCAATTGTTCACGTTAGGCATTGCACTGGCATTGACGACTCCTCGTTAACAAGCGCCTTAAATAGAGCTTATCAGCAACCCGCTTGCTTCAGGCCAGATTGCGATGCTAGAAATCAGAGCGATTGAGATAAAATGGGCGCCACTTGCAACAAGTAAAACCAAAGGTGGAATACAAATTTTGAATGTCGACGTCTTGGGTTGCTGATACTTATGCTCTCATCAAAAGATTTGTTTTTTTGGTTTCAAAACTTTTGATCAAGATGGTGGGCCACATCGGACACCGTACAAGCATATGCACCAAATCTATTTGGGGTCCGAGCTCTACGCAATAAAATAGATGGATTTATGGATGTAGGGATATGTGATATGTCTAGTACCTATGCCGATGAGTCGTCAAACAGTCAGCAGTCTGTGGCGAACCCAAGGTTCGCGCATCAATTGCGTGGCGAAAGATGGACTGGATATGGACACCCATGAGCGCAACGCATCTGGCCATGAAGCTTGTCCTCGTGTGTATCAAAGAGACGGAGACGACAGTGTGCAATAAAAATAGGTGGATTTCCGATTAATGGATGTGGAAGTGATATATCTAGCCAGTAGTTGGCGATTTACGACAGAGAGATGCTGGGGGATCGCGCATTTAATGCGGGGGACGAGTATCCAGAGGCGATTCACTACAACGCCATCAGTCAGTTCGTCTTCTCCTCGGACAGGGCACACACCGGACTGCTCCCCAATCTCCGCTCCAGCTCGCCCATCTTCTTCTCCAGGTCCTTGAAGCGCTCGATCTTGAGCTGGTGGTACTCTCGGAGGACCTCGCCCTGCTCCGCCTTCAGCCGGCGGAACGCCTCGTCCAGCTCGTGGTGCCACGGGTAGAGCACAGTCGTCTGGAAGGCAAGCGCGCCGGCCGCGACGGCGAAGTTGATGTACGGCAGGAGCTGGCGAACACGGGGGCCGAGGACCATCGCGATGTGCAGCGCAGGGAGCGGGGCGGACGGATGGAGGCGGGAAGAGAAAAGGTGGGAAAACATGTGCTTGCGTGTCCGGGTCTCGTTTCACCCGGGTCTAGACTCGGCGCGGATCATCGATCGGGGTTAATCGGTGACAATCACTGGCTGCTGCCGTTGGCGGATGAATCAAGCAAGAATTACTGAAAAACATTGAAACTAAGTACCACATTTAGGTATCAGGTTCATGAGGCAGTATTACAGTGTTACAAACAAACCAACAAACTACACCACCAATAGCATTCTGTATCAATTTATTCAATTCGGTGGTCACACGTCACAGCGGAGCGGAGCACCGACACCGAGACATGATTCAAGGTAGGGCCGACGAGCGGCGTAGCACAAACTGATTTAAAGTACATAAAAAGTGTCCTACATATACAGCATTGTAGTAGCAATTGGGTCCAAGACTGGCAAATGTGGGTAAGTATTTTCAGATTCTAAATTATCCTGGCAGGAGCTTAAGCTTGATTTTTAACTGAGAGTAATACACCGCCAATGGGTTTCCAGCTGTGACATAGCTGGAAAATCCCCGGTGGACACATGTGATGGCTGGCTGGTTCCCGGATCAGTGACACATGGTAACCATGTTTGGTCGCAAATGGATCCATGATGGATCCAGAAGGTCTGGGCACCAGCTGGGCGTCCAGGTAGCTGTTATATAATCTATTTGGTATTCAGGCACAATACCGCAGGCAGGTAAATACTAAAATACGGACAGAAAATTATAACAAAAATATCAATTGCAAGAGTAAGCGAATATACAAGGACTACTCGAGTAGCTACAGTTTAGCTCTATTGGAGAGCGCGCGGCTGGACAACCTGCCGGCGGCAGTGGGGTCTGCCCTTCACATTCGCATTCGCGACACCATTGTTGCTGGGGGGTCGGCGTGGGCACAACGACAGTCGTGAACTGGATTTCGGTTTTGGTTGACAGCAGGGTTAGAGGGGCAGTGCGGGGGCAGCGGAGGTCGTGGGTGGGGTTGAAGAGGTAGCGGAGGAGGGCGGGGTGTTTTGCATGGGCAGGGTGGGGGGCTGGGGAGGTTAGTCAAGCGCGGTATAAGCTCAGGACAATGCACACACAACAAGTGTTGAAGTCTACGCTCGAGGCGTAGAAGTGTTGCCTAAGATGGCATCAGTAAACCCAGAATACGAGACAGCAGGGACGCACTAATGTGTGCACGGTTGTCATCACGGCGCTGGGAGGCAGCGCCCACCGCTTCGGACACGGTGTAGGGGCTGGCGACCTCAAAGGGAGGATGGCAGGCATTGCCAGGGCTGGAACCTTGAGTCGGAAAAGAGAGTGTGAGCATTAACACTGCACACAACAACTGCTGCTCACCGGCGCTCACCCTTCTCCTCGGAACTTCAGCATGCGACCTCAATGAAACACTAGAAAAATAAGTGAGCAAACACATTAACAGCAAGCCACGCTACTTACAGACCGCCTGCTTGATGCGAGGACGCTGGGGTGGGCGGTACATTTGGGGGGATGTGAGGATGGAAGAAGAGGAAGAAAAATGTCATTTGTGACTGTGACTGTGAAACGATTGATGTATCTGTGATGTCCCGGAGCATACCCGCCCATTGCGTCAGCCTAATTTTATCATCAAGCTCGGCTGGACTTAGCAGATTTGGTTGATCTACCCAATACTGCAATACTGCCTTACAAGATTTTCTGGACATTCTCTTGATACAATGGAAACCAGCTGGACCCAGATGTTGGTTGGGTTATATGGAAATCATCTGGAACCTCCAGCTAGCTCAGACCTATGAACACTTTGGTGGTGTATTTCTTCAAAGTATTCAATCACACTAGGGCTTCTGCTAAAGATTGTTCCCAAAGCAGAACATAATTCTAATGTTTAACAGCTTTAATTGAAGTGCCTCAAAATTTTTGGCTGCGTTGTCGATGGTGGACAAGGGTCAACACACCGAAAAGTGCCGAGCTGTCACACACAGGCATCACATCGTGTTCTTGTACTTCTCATGTTGCATTTATGATATTAGCTTTGACTCATATCCTATCTGAGAACTTGATAAGTATGTGATCCCATTACTTGCAAATCAAGTCTAAGTTTCATTTTTCCATCTGTTCAAGTTATTAAAATGTAAATTGTCACTGTCCCTGGTATGAACTGTATAAGTTGTCCCAAGTACTAGGATTATTTACATTTGTTACCAATAAAATAATATGTCTTGAACATGTATATTTCTACAAATTCTCCTAATATTCCTATCACTTTTATTTTTTTTTGCTGCCTTGGTTTGTCCCCAACTGAAAAAGAAGATCACTGTTTCATATTGGCTTTCTTACAAATTAAGAACCAATGGAGAACTCCCTTCTTAAAGGGTTTTTGCTGATTATTGCTCAGGCAGAAACCAAATCAATTCATTGTTTACAAACTTGGAAAGAAAATTTTGATATTTCATTAATGAAGGACATAATCTCTTTGTTTGTGTCCAAATTTGAAAGCAAACCACTGTTTTTGGTTTGTAAAAAACCCATTTCAGGGGAATATTTTTTTTTTTTTTTTTTTTGGCAAATTTCAGCACAAAATCTACTGTCTTTCAACTTGAAGTTCGAGTGTCTTTTAAACAATTTTTTGTTTTGCAAAATTTCGAAAGCATTCATTTTGAAACATTATTTCTAAAATAAACTAGTCTTTTTTTAACCCGCTTCAGCGGCCTGAATTACTCAGTCTCCGATGTATGAACACATCGACGGTGTTGAAGGCTGTGTTTAGGTGCTGGTGCTGTGTCAGTGTGACAGGACAATAATCAATGATGCTGTGCCAAGCTGTTCTTCTCTAAACCACGATGAGCAACGTCGACGGATGCCCGCCGGACGCGCTGGAAGGGGCGGGTATTCCTCACGGCACAATGTCTATTCGCGCGCTTTGCGACTGGATCCAGGCGGCTACGGAGATTCGGGACACCGTCATCACGGACATTTGCTGGTGGCAGGAGGCGGACACGATCCTCAAGCATCAATGTCTGGCCTTGCGCTTTCATCATGCTGGTCTGGCCTACGACCTGATCCTCGAGCGCGCGGGGAAGGCCATTTTGCGTCCGTTTGAGCTGGCAGCGGACAAAGCAACATTCATGGCGGCGAAACCGGAGCCCGACACAGCTTTTCATGGAACTCATCGATTGCTATTCGCGCTGGTCACGGACCGCAACATCCTTCCAAAAGGTATGGCGCTGTTTTAGTTGCATCATGATAAGGGGAACCATTCTGGCTAGGGACCTTTTGCGTTGACGCATTTAGAGACTTTCTTGACTACAAATGGTCGGGACCGTATCCTCGCCTGTGTGATTTGGCACGTTATGTGGAAATTATCGCTGGGGAGGAACCGCGGTACAGCATTGCCACAAGCAACTGTTACTGGTTTTCACGCATCGTGTTCCATACTCTGGCACTGCGCCATTATGCCTTCCCATTTGTTGCGACATCGATCACCCCGCGGACGTTTGTCATCCCGCGCACTGCCGCCCTTCAGACGTATGGGACTTCAGAAGTCAAGGACCTCGAGCTCTCCCGCCACGATCCATCCTCGGTCTCCCTCGTCTTCCGCTTCCTGCACTACGAGGAGTGGCGGAACGGCATCCTGATGTTCCGTCGTTTGGTGGTGATCTTCCTGGTGTTGATTTCGCTCGGCGCGACGAGCGGGGTGGTATACGCCGTCTACCACGCTATCCGCCACACATCGCCGATGGTGGCAAAGACGCGCCCCATCAAGTCCACGGCGGGGACCATGGCGGTGTCGATCCTGATCACCCTAATTTTCCTGCCCCTCATTTGTGTGATGATTGGGTTAGTTGCGGTGCGCTGGATCACTGCCTTGCTCACGTATCTGCTTATCCGTCGGCGGACATTGCAAGTTTTGGATCTTTTTGGTGCGCACGCCTGGTTTGCTTCAAGTTGAGGAGACATCGACAAAGCTGACACTATTCATGCAGACCGAGGGATGAAGATGGAAAGCATCCGAGGGGACTACGTTCCCCCGAAATTGCCATTCCAGAGGCACAGAAGAGCAGCTGCCGGACCCAACGACGAGGTCTCTGAGACGATGATTGTGTCCAGGCGGCCCCGGACGTTGCCGAAACTGTGGGTGCACGTAAGCCATTTCCCCCCGTATCTACGCCGCTTCTGAGCCCTATGCTACCAGGACGAACAGATATACCCTTGCACGAAAGAAGCGTACCTCGCGGCGTGGGCACGATTAAGTGCGGGCAACCAGGCTGGCTGAGCGCGTGAGTAAATTGTGAAATCGGTGGTGTCTGATTCGCCAGACGTGTATAAATACCGGTCGATAGAGTTCGTGTGCAGAAGTCACCGATCACGGAAGGCACGTCCCGAGCGCCCGGCGCCAGACTCCCACGTCGCGTAACGCGTGACACCGCTTCTCCTCCTCGTTCCCCCGCCACCGGCAGCAACGACCGCATCGCAGGGATGCCTGCGGAAAACGACGAGCTGACAGCAACGCTTTCCACCGCTCTGCACTCCCTTTCGCACGCGCGCAAGGCTAGCTTACTTCTGGACACAGCGCTGGGGCTGATCCAGAATGGACGGTATGTCTGGTCTGCAAGACCTCTTTCGACGACTGAAATGTGCTGCGACAGATACGGGCCGGAGGTGGAGAGCTATCTTGAGGTATACCTCAAGACTCCGGGATTAGAGAGACGGGATATAGTGAGGGCCCTGTTGGCGCGGGGGACTGCAAGGAAACGGGAGGGAGAGAGGCTAGACGAGCTAGCGGAGCAAGGTGTGTGGCTTCTTATATATTCCACCGTCACTGAAGCTTGCGTCAGACTTCAAAGCTGCCCAGAAGCTGGAGCCAGGTAACTCGGAGGTGCAGCGGTACTTTCAGCGCGAGACGGTGAGTCGTTTTCTTCCGCTCGTCCGCCTCCTGAATTCCAGTAGAAAATTGCTTTTGCGAGCGACCCGGCGTCGCATCGCACGCCTCTTGAAATCTGGGAGCGGATAGCGTCCTTTATTCCCCGATATCACCTTCGGACGTGGTTTTTCGTCTCCCCTTTCCACCGCGAGATTGCGGTCCGGCTCATATTCGATACGCTGGACTTGTATTTTGCGGAGGACCAGCAAGACGCTCTCAATCGCGGTCTCGACGTTTTCGACCGGGTGAAGACGGACAAAGTATTTGCTGGGCGAATAAAGACGCTAAGGATTCATTGGGCATATGAGGAGGGCGAAATGCTTGATTTAATGATGCGTGCGTCTTTATATCTCTTTTTCTTCTCTCTGTCCTGAACCGATGCCAGGTATATTCCGCACAACCATCCCCGAATTCCACGCATTGCGTTCATTTGAATGGATAGGATATCCTGAATTACGGGCAGAGCTTGTCCAAACTGTCCTTTCAGCCCACCCCAGGCTTCACGGCCTGGGCCTCATTGGATGGCATTTCGACGCCGTTGGCGTTTCTGCCTTCCACAATCTTCACAAATTCACCCTTCGAGCCGAAGACGACGACGGGTTTGCGGATATGGGAGAAGTGCGGTCGGTACTGGACCATAACTCCGAAACGCTCAAACATCTGGTGCTTGGCGCCTACCTCATGCGGGCCCACAGCTGGGATGCGGCGTTTGGGAGCGTGACCATCCGTAATCTCACCCACCTCGACCTTGTCGATACCCGCATATCACAACTCGTGCTTGTTCGCATAGCGCAAGCGCATGGTCTCCAGAGCCTTACACTGCATGGGACGTTCGAAGATCCCGTTGCCGCGGGTGTCGTATTTGGCACTGATGTCCAAACTGGGGAGGACCACTCGCTCTTGCCATTGTTGGAATCGTTCCGCTTCATCCTCATTGGTCATGATGACCAACCAGCGCTATACCGATCTGTCACCCAATTTCTTGCCTCCCGTCAGCGCCTCCGGAGACTGGACCTCGGCAGCTGTCCGTGGGAGCTCGTGCACACCCTCCTGCCCACCCTTCCTTCGTTGCGCGTATTTGGTGTCCGAATCGCTCATCTGACAGTCGCTGCGTTCTCATCATTGGTGGACTGTCTTCCGTCATCCCTAATCGCCTTGCACCTATCCACCGCTGTCGCAGATAGACCTGTCCACGACCCCGCGCTCGTACATCGGCTGAAGCAATTTACCTCCCTTGGCTTTTTGCACCTCCAAAATAGCGCGAGTCGGCGGCCACAGCCTAGCTTGATGAGCGAGAAGGAGTGTGCGGTCCAGACCGACGCGTGGGCCGGCGCGGCAAAGGGTGTCGCGGCGGCCCTGTCGAGCATCGATTTTCTGGGCTGGCATGGCGAGCACTACGTTGTTATACGCTCGGGAGAGCGGGTCACGTTGAAGGAGCTGCCGGGGAGAAGACATCTGGACTGCGGGAGTGGTGTGGATTTGGGCGGGGAGGATGCAGCGTGGCTGGAGAGGAAGGATGTGCCGATGGATTATGAGATGCCTGTCGGCAGGGACGGGTAGAGCTTCCGGCATTTTTTCTACTTTCTCTCTCCTCTAGGCCCCAGATACTGTGTATAATTTTGCTGTACCGTAAGCTCGAAGAACGTTTTCGCCCGCGACGAATATCGATGACGCCGCGTCCATTCCAAACTTGAATTGGTACAGGTTCATGAGACTACCAGAGATAGGAAGATAAGATGCAGACCCCGCCGAGAAACTGGGGCGAACAAACAACGCTGACTCTCCACAAGTTAACCACTAATCTAGTTTGAAATACAACCACTTATAGGAGGCATTTCCCACTTCAACGTAATTGAGGGGGCTCTTAGGTGGTTGGTAGATTTCTGTGAGAATTATATCATTTATTCTTTCCACGGTAATGAGCTGTCAATATGACCACTATATGAATAATAACATATGGACCCCATAAATTCCCTTTCATGCACGATAGCCTTGCAATATATGGAGAATCTCAGAATAAATGTTGGAAACCTTTGAATCAATTCTATTAAAAAAATATTCATATTAGTGCATAAAAGGACAATAAGAATATATTCTTGATTTTATACACTATTAAAAGTTGAAAAGGTTTTTAAGCAAGATAATGTAAATCGCTTTGCCGTACCGCGTTTCTCATGCTATGGGCACGTGACCGGTACCATTTGAAAGGGAATTTTCTGCTCTTTCCAACGGCGCTCCTCCATCTGATAATGACCAAGACAAGGTAGATGACTTCAACTGGGATGATAAGGATAATGCTCTGGATAATAAAGAGTTGCAAACTTGGCTTGTGACTTATATCGTTCTTGTAGATGAAACTGTAGATTCTGATACAGAGTGGCTGCCTGCAGATATGCTTCACAAGGTCAAATGACGCAGGAAGGAGCACAAGGATAAGGATAAATTGTAATAATTATGTATGATACTAATAAGTTAATCATGCAGCTAGACAACCTCATTATACAATAGGACTAGGACATGTTGGTAAAGCAAAATGAATCTTACAAGAGCCTAAGTGGAGAAAGAGATTACAAGGCTAACAGGAAATGTCTATTTCAGCAGGAGCATGGACATTGACAGCTTTGACACCTGTTGAACCAGAACCTGAGGCTGACCAAGTTAGACCAAGCACTACTCTTGTGGCAAAGAGCAAAACCTATCAACACCAAAATATCATAAACTTAGCAAGTGACTCTGAGTCTGAGAGGCAACAAATGGATATGGATACAGAGCCAGTAGAGAGATTTTATAGGACCTATTTCTGCAGCACCCTCACCAGTGCCTGGTGCTATCTTCAGCTGCAAGCTCTATACAGTTAAGTCCAATCTCAACTAGGCTAGCAACTCCAGTCGCTGCTCCAGAGGAAACTATAGTCTATCTCTAATGAAGATAATGAGCAGACAGACAGATTTGAGGAAGAGTGGGAGGCAGAGCTGGAGGAATAAGTCTCAGAGCATTTAGCTGATATCTTAAGCTGGGATGGAATTAAAGAGCTAGTTGATCAGTGGCTTAAAGAAGGGAAAAAGAAACATATTCCTCTGGCACAGGTTGATCAGTGGTGCTTGAAATTTCTGTACCCTCATGCTGAAAGGATTCTTAAGAATCCGTGCCAGTATTGTGATTGCAAGGCAATGACATGAGAAAGAAGGTGTTCATTTTGCTAGACATGTTTGAATGCTAGTTAGGCACTTTGAAGTCTTTAGGAGTCTTCCTAGGGAAGCCCAGGGAGGCATGCAGGATTCCTGTTCTCTTTGATCAGAAGAAAATATTAGGAATGCTACTAGGACTTGGTTGGAGGCACAACCATCTGGAGGTATTATTTTTCTAAAAATTTTCAATATGCCATTAACACAACAATTTTACCAGGTATCACTACTAATAAGCCTTTATGTGAAAGAACTGCAACCCGCTGGTTAATAAAACTAGGCTGGAGATTAACTGTCATACACAAAAGTGATGATGGAAAGCAAAGAATCCAGAAAATACATTTATGCCTCAAACCAATCCTTCAGTTGCTCAAAGAGGAAAGAAACAAAGATGACAACTGATGCCAAATACCAAGCACTGGAATATTTAAATACATGCCCACCTGAAGTGATTAGTGTAAGGGCAACCCCGGAGGCCTGAGATCAAGGTCCTAGCAGGGGAGGATCCAAAGCGTGAACATTGGTAAGCGAATACAAATGAAGCTGACCTAGCAGGGGAGGATCCAAAGAGAAGAAACTCTAAGGGTCCGCCTGCTAGGTAGCTGACTATATACTGCTTGTCCGTAGCTGCCGCTGTCGGGCACAGAAGGCTTGGGCGGCGTCGCAGGCGAGGTCCCAGGGCGACCGTCGGGAGGGCGTTGACGGATCGGTGATTGTGCGGGCGAGATGGAGGGCCGGACCGGAGACGGAACCGGAGTCGGACCGGAATCGGAGGCGTCTCCGAGGGGCCGAAAGGGAGGTTCCCCTGACATCACCCCCCCCTTTGAATGCGGCGTCCCGACGCATAGACCGGAACGGAATCGAGTCGAAGGTCGCGGAGGCGATGTGTCGTGGCTTGCCAGGGTACTTACGATAGAACTCCGCAATTTTCTCCGGGGCGAAGACGCGGTCGAAGCGGACCCATTGGTCGTGCGATGCGTCGTAGCCTTTCCATCTGACGAAGTAGTTCAGCCGCTTATACCTCACCCTTGCGTCCAGGATTTCCTCTACTTCCCACTCCGGGACTCCGTCCTCGAGGTCCGGAGGGGGCTGGTCGTAGCCGGGGCGTCCGTCGAAGGGGTCGTCCTGAGCGAGCTCGAGCTTGACGACGGGGAAGACCGGGTGGAGCTTCGAGTAGCGCGGAGGGAGGTCGAGCTTGTAGGCACCTTTGCTGATCTCCGCGACTATCTTGAACGGCCCAAGGCGGCGATGGGAGAACTTTTCCGAGGGTCGAGTCGTCCTGATGTCAGAGGCATCCAGCCAAACACGGTCGCCAACCTTAAACTCCGGAGACGGAGTCCGTCTCCGGTCGTAGTAGCGCTTGTACTCCTCTTTGGCCTTAGTGAGCGCGGCCTTGGCTTCAGCAACACCAGTGGCGATCCGGTCGCGGAACTCGTTCACTGACTCCATGGCGGAACGGACTCCGGGTTCGAAGCCCATGCGCGGGAGCCGTCCCGTGTCCGTCATGAAGGGGACCTGCTGCGTGGAGGAGTGAACGTGGTTGTTGTAGGCGAACTCCGCGGCCGGAATCAGCTCATCCCAGTCGTCCTGCTGGTAGTTGGTGAAGATCCGCAAGTACTGCTCCAGCTCCTGGTTGACGCGCTCTGTCTGACCGTCTGTCTGCGGGTGGTACGCGGTGGACGTGGCGGGCTTGATGCCGATTAGACGCCAAAGTTCTCGGGTGAAGTCCGCGATGAACTGCGAGCCGCGGTCGGAGACGTACTTCTCCGGAGTCCCATGGTGCCGCCAGACATTCCGGTAGTAGAGGCGGGCTGCCCCTACTGCATCGACCGTCGTATGACACTCTGAGAAGTGGGCGCTTTCTGAGGGTGTCAACGACGACCATGATCGCGTCGTACCCATGGGCTTCGGGAAGCTCTACGATGAAGTCGACGGAGACGGTATGCCAGCGTTCCGGAGGCGTTTCCGTGGGGTGCAGTTCTCCGTGGGGCAGTCTCCGGAGTGCCTTGGTGCGACAGCACAAGTCACAGGTCGCAACATACCGGCCGATATGGCGAGACATCTGAGGCCACCAGTAGTTCCGGGAGACCAACTCCAGGGTCTTGAAACGACCTGCGTGTCCGGCGACTCGGGTGTCATGGCAGAGCTCGATGATGCGTCTCCGGAGGTCCTTGTCTTTTGGTACGACGATCTTTCCTCGGAAATGGAGAAGACCGCCGGAGACGGCCCACTCGTCAGAACGTGAGGAGCGGGGGCCTCGAGCTTGACCTTGAACCTTAAGAAGTTGCCGGGCCGCTAGTGCGACGGGCTCCTCCAGGTCAGGCTCACCGGAGAGGGCATCACGGATGTCACGGAGGAGTTCAGAGCCGGGACCGAAACGGAAACGCCCTCGAGTGCGCGGACGTGGAAGAGTTCAGGCCGCAGAAGGACGACGTCGGAGTTGTCGGAATCGACTCCGTGGTCGGGTCTCCGGGAGAGGGCGTCAGGCCGACCCATATCGCGGCCAGGTTTGTGGTGCAGCGTGAAGTCGAACTGGGAGAGGTACAGAGACCACCGGGCCTGTCTCCGGTTGAGGTGTTGCGTCTTCCTGAAGTACTCCAAATTCTTATGGTCAGTCCAAATCTCGACAGGGTGCGCGGCGCCCTCGAGGAAGTGTCTATATTCCTCGAGTGCGCGGATGATCGCGAGCATCTCCTTGTCGTGGATTTCGTAGTTGCGCTGGACATCATTTAAGCTTTTGGAATAGAATGCTACAGGGTGCCACTTCCCGTCCGGGGCGGATTGTGAAAGAACCGCCCCCTCGCATAATCAGAGCTGTCCGCCTCGAGTCGGAAAGGCCGTGTGTCGTCCGGAATCGCCAGGACCGGTTCCGAGGTGACCGCGTCCTTGATCGCTTGGAACGCGGAGGCCTCCCGCGTCGCCCCAAGTCCATTGCTGGTCCTTCTTGGTGAGCACGAAAAGAGGGCGCGCAAGGGTCGAGAAGTCCCGAATGAACCTGCGGTAGAAGTTAGCGAACCCAAGGAACTGCTGAATGTCCTTCTTGTTTTCCGGAGTCGGCCAAGCGGAGACGCCTGCGACCTTGACGGGGTCCATTTCGACGTGGTTGTGGGAGATGATGACTCCGAGGTACTCGATTGACGATTTTTCAAAGTCGCACTTCTCCGCTCGGAGGTACAACTTGTGCTCCTGGAGTCGCCGCAAGACCTCCTGAACAATCTGCCGGTGTTTCCGGAGGTCGGAATGGGCGATCAAGATGTCGTCAAGGTAGATCATGACGTCTCCGGAGAGGATGAGGTCCTGAAAAATGTCATTCATCATCGTTTGGAACGTCGCGGGAGAGTTTGTCAGGCCGAAATACATCACCAAGGGCTCGAA